GTGTATTGGGGTTTTTTTTTTTTGTTTGTTTTTTAAACTCCAGCTAACTAAAAGAAGACTACTGCCCCTCGTATGTCATGCTTTCAAGAATTTTGAATTATTGTGATCACTGGAGATTGGAGCAGACTGACCAATGCAGTCCCCAGGCTGCTCGTGTCGTTGCAGACACTCAGTCCATTTTGAGCATGAGTGGGGTTCCGGTCCGGAGAGCAATTAAGGCCTCAGAGGAAGCCCATAATATTTAACAGACAAATTCTCATCATAGATAATATATTTTGTGGTATGTGTTAAAATACATTTGTTCGATTTTAAGATCAGTTTTATTAACAAATTTGATATGGCCCTCAGAGAACACTGTAAAAACAGAATTGGCCTCCAAAACACCAAAAGGTTCGCCACCCCGATAAAGAGAATTATCACTCACTCTTTCTGTAGCACTTGTCAAAGGAAGGTTCTGTTGCTCTCAGTGAAACAACACACCATGTAGGGCTGCCACAAGACTAATGCCACACATGACACGGGTTGCTCTGTTGCTTGTCAGGTTTTATTGAATATTGGTCATGTGTTTTTCTGAGAATATTGCAGCTGCTGTATGGGTGTGATTAAGTTGCATTGGTTTAAAAAAAAAAAAAAGAATCAAACAACACAAAAAAAAAAAACAAAACAAAAAACTGCCAGCCCAGTATCAGTTTGTGTCTGCCATGGCTTTCGGACCGACACACATTTTTGGTTTTTGTATGCTAACCTCTGTTGATAAAATGTTTATAAGATTTATTTTCGCCAAAGATATGCAATTGCATTATAAATGGTATTACAAAACTATTAATAAAAAAAAAAAACTGTTCTTCTTAACAGAGTGAGCACTTTTTTCTTCTAGTGCGGCACCAGTGTGTTAGTAGTCTACACTTGCTCCTGATCAATGTTGCCACCTGCTGTGAGCGCCAGAGCACTCGTATAAGCTAATCATAGCCCATTTTTCAACTAGAACTAGCCATTCATGTGGCAGCCTTCTCAGTTTTCACATTAGCATGTCACAGCTGGCAAATATTTCCCACCAAGTCTGGCTGTTATAGTCGTGTTTTGACTGCACAATCTGTGATCAGTACCACGTGTGTGACTCTGCCGCCACACACTGCCTCCTTCATTCTACTTGCCTATTTCACTCTTCCAACATGGCAGGCTGCCAGAATTGCATCTCACATTAACCTGGATCATCCCAGGGATGGCTACATTATCATATGTCCTGAACACACGCTTTGCTCAAAGTTAATTTGTCATAGAGGACAGGCGGGTGAGCACAGTGGTGACACTGATCAAGAGCCTTGGGCCCATTGGTACTGCACTATTGTTCAATAGAGTCTTGTGTGTGAACTGGAAGTAGGAAGGTGGGGGCTTTTCCCTACTGACTGCCTCAATTCAACTGGAAATCAGAGCAGCATCACCCCCCCCCCCCCCCCCCACACACACATGGCCTTGGCAACCACGCCACGCCGACAGTTGCCAGGCAACCAGACAATGCTGGAGCCACTGGCTGCAGTGTCGGTTTTCCACGTACAAAAGTGGCAAAGGATGCTTCTTATGTTGCTGAAGAATATTCACTGATACATAAAAGTATTTTGAAGCATTCAACAAGATTTAAATTGTAGAACTGGTTAAATGTGTACCATGTGAAGAGATTACTGGATTAGAGGAAATGAATCGGCAAGGCTTCGACCAGTGTGGGCTGCATTAGCAACATGCCATTTTACTTCAAGTCAAAATGATGTCATGTAATTATTAGACTATCTTTTGATGTTCAACAACACCTTCTATCCAAAATTCTTTGTTGGAAAAGTTGATCAGTGAGAAACTAATTCTATGAGGCTTTAGTGTGCGCCTGTCGAATAATATCACCTTCCTTTCAATTCAAATTCAATTTTGGATCATTTGTGTTCCCTGATGGCATCTCGGACGTTGTGTTAACATAATAGAATATACTCATTCATTCTGGGAGTATATAACAGGCCCAATTATAATCCTCACTGAACAAACCAAACGAGGAACACCGACCTTTTGAGGTTTGTTTTGTCTGATACAAATACTTTAATGCCATATACAACATTATCTTTTGCTCCCCCTCATATACTCTCATATAGGAACTATTGGCAATTTAAATAAAATGAAGTGACCGCATTTAATTTATAAACAAATAATCTGAACAAACCAGACATCACCACACGCGGGAAAAAAATAAAAAATTCTGAAAGTACGGTTCAGAGATTCATAGCCAACTCACAAAGTAGTGGCTTAGCATGAGCTTGGTTTCCACTTATCTGCATGAGGTAATGTTTTTTGTTTTTTTAATCGATCATCTTTCATCAAATACTGATAAATTTAGTTTGTTATAAACTAAAATCTGGGGAAAATGTTCCTGGAAAAACAATTCAAAAACGAATTCAAGAAATCAGCCCAAAAGTTAAATTCACTCTACTGCAAAAGAAGAAAATTCACTCGACTGCAAAAGAACAAAAATCCCACTCAAGTTTTCATTAGCTCATTTGTGTGCTAAACAGGTTGAGACCACAGGGGTCAACTTACTTTCGTTGCAGGCCAGAGGGCCGTGATCGGTGTGAAAACCTGATACAGTAAAGATACACAATGAATGTATAATCACCTTATTGTATTGCCCCTACAATTTATATACTGTATATCTATATATCTAAATATCTATCTATATATATATATATATATATATATATATAGAGAGAGAGAGAGAGAGAGAGAGAGAGAGAGAGAGAGAGAGAGAGACATACACGCACAAAAAAACTTAAGTAATGGAAAGAATTTTAAATACTTCTTGATTTATCGTCATGAAGAGGTAATGGTATTCTCTCTCTCTTTTTTTCTCTATGTCTCTCTGTCTCTCTCTCTCTTTTTTTCTCTCTGTCTCTCTGTCTCTCTCTCTCGTTGAAGAATTGTTGTTTTTGGCCTTCGCCGTATACCTCCAACCGCAAGAGGGCACACTAAGAAGAACTGCGTAGCAGTTCCGTTTTCTTTGAACTCTGACCCTTGAGTTTGTGCCTGTTAGGCTTGCCGAGGAGTAATAAAAATGAAAGTATTTTTGCTGATGACTGGCTTGTCAAGGCTTTATTTGCCAATGTAACAACAGCTACCCCTCCTATTTGACAGTATTCGTGGAGAGTAGTGTGCCGGATAACTCCGCGACGGCTTTATTAGTGTGCTCTTTGGTGTCACCGGCTTGTGTTTTGCTACTTTGCTAACCAGTTAGCTGCTACGTGCTGTCGTCGCTGATAATGCTAACTCAAACACATCCCTTTTCAAGTTCGAAGGACATCCGCATTTACATCGCGTAAATCTGATAACCACGTTGTTGAAAATTGTGGTTCTCACATTTAGCGATGTGCGCACTGCAAATTATTTATTGTAGTGCAACAAGCAGCTCGCAAGAACGTCTTATTTGGAGACTTGTTAACCTGAGCTAGCCGAGGTTTTTTATCACTCATTGCGTCCGTTAAGCCGAGTGGAAAGTTTTGCTCAAGTTCATTGGGAAATAATTTCGTACGCAGAAGAAGGCAACATCGCACGCGGTTTTAGGACGCGTCAGAGTTTAGATTAATTATGGCTAATGTCACGGATCTGCAGACCAAATACAGCAGGTTGGCACAGGAGTACTCCAAGGTAAAGTAACCTTTTCATGTCAATTATCTTATTCCATATACGTAGACTGTCGCTAAAGAGATACTGAGATGTGATTTCATTTTTTTTCCGCACCTATACCTACTAATGTTTTGCTTTTCACCATGTCTAGTCAGTGCGAAATTATTCAATGGATCATTTCAACGAGACAACTTCACTGTGACCAAATCATAAAGCGTATTTACCAATAACCTTTAACATGCAAATGCATCTCCTTACAATATTATAGGAATCAAGTGCACCACGTGTAGGTTTTATGACGAACCCACTGTTGCTTCTCAGTAAGTGTAGGAATGTGCTTTAACTGTTGGTTATTCGTGCTAACATTTACACTTTTAAATAACTGATAACTAATGACATTGAACTGACATTTTGCTTACTTTATTTAACTGCAGCACATAAGATTGTCTTTGAAAATACATTTCTCTTTTCTCTCGTCTCATATTGTGTGGTCCTCTAAAACGGGGGAAAAATAATGATAGGTCTCATCACATTGCGGTGAATGTTCAAACTCTTATTTAAACAGCATACTTGATTATAATATTAAAATACTTGAGTTGACAAAACTGATTTGCTTGAATTAGTGTGTTTGGTGTCTTGTAATGTTACATTTAGACATTAAAATCCACACAATATCATGTAGTCATTCCCTTTCAGGATTCCGCGATGGTTAAATTAGTTCTAAATGGCACTAATGGCTGTTTATTCCTCTATGTGCCCTTTGTTTCCATGTCAGCTGACTGCATGGCCCTTGGTCAGTGTGTGCTGTTTCCTGTTTGTTGGATGAACCAGTTAGTGAACCGCTATATCACACTCAGGAAGTGCTGACGATGTAGTTGTCCCTCACAGCCGGTTGTGCTAGTATTGTTCAGGGTTTTCAACAAGTGTGCCTTCTGCTGAAATAGCACCCACTAAAAAAGGAATGAAGTTCATTTTATCCTGTTGTCTATACTTTCACAGCTGCGTGCCCAGAACCAGGTGCTGAAGAAGGCAGTTGTTGATGAGCAGGCCAACTCTGCATCGCTCAAAGTAAAAAAAGACAAATCACAAAGCCCTACTGTGCATCTCTGCATTAATTTTCTGCCTGCTCAAATATTTACCACTGTCCTGTCGCGCTTACTGCAGTGCCCAAAAAAGCGCTTTTACACAGAGATCTAGCCAAAGTTTGGTGAAACTGGGTTGAGGGAGTACAAAGATGGTTCTGTGACACTCAAGACCTGCTTTTCCTTCTTGTCATACCAGATACCACTTTTTGTCACACATTTAATAATGAAGACCCTTATGCAGAAATATGGCATGAGCTCTGTGTTAAAGAGGCTAGTGATTATCAGGGTATCCTAATGTTTGCAGCACCATTATTCCATTTTTAGTGCTTGGTTCTCTATTATCAGGAGCAACTGAAACAGAAGGATCAGAGCCTTAGGAAGCAGGAGCAGGAGATGGACAGCCTCAGCTTTCGAAACCAGCAGCTGGCGAAGAGGGTGGAGCTTCTTCAAGAGGAGCTGGCTGCTAGTGAAGCAAAGGGCAAAAGGGGAAAGGTGATCATGGGGACGGAACTCAAATTGATATATTGTTCAGCTCCTGTAACAATCCTGTTGCTTGCTATTGAATATTAAAATTAACTAAGATGCTCTGGAATGACACAAACCAAAATACCACCGAAATAAAAATGAAAGACTAGATAGATATCAAAAGCAGTCTGATTGCACGACTAATAAGTGCTTTGTTTCTTCAGAATACTGCACCTTATATAATTGCACCAGTATTGCCCTTGACTGTTTAAAAATTAAGTACTGAAAATCGAACTTCTCCTTTCTTTCTCGTTGTAGTTTGTTATTATGCATATCCTACTTTTCTGCCTATAGCATATAAAGAAAGAAAAGGTTCAGAAATACTGCTGCCCTTCAAAATCCCATAAATGTGTTGAATGAGTAACATCACCAAATAACCATTCATTCTCTCATTCAAACCAATTGACAATTTATTCTTCAGTTAATCAAGAATTCGCCTTTTTGGGATGTGTGCGTGTAACTGGAGAAAACCCACATAAGCAAGGGGAGAATATACATAGAACACACAAAATGGCCCGAGCTGATATTTGGTCTCCCAATCTCAGAACTGTTTGCCAGACGTGTTGTAATTATGTGCTAGAGACCAAAATCGTATCCCTATTTTTGTGATCAGTAGCTTGAGGGTAACTGTTTATCTCATAGAGATGAAAGTCCTCCGGATTTTCAAATTTTCATGAAATTTCCTCTGGAAAATTGAGGAAAAATTGCCTAAAATTAATCCGGATATTAGTTGACAACATTGAATGAACACACGTTTGAGTTTATTGTTTTGCTTTCACGAGCATAGCCATGTTGAGGCATGAACACTAGTAACAGTAACACCCTTCCCCTCGCATTCTCATGGCCTTGCCATATCTCGGAGATGTCGACATTTCGGCGAGAACGGAAGCCACAAAGGGTGCACGTGTGCACACAAAAGGCAGATCAATCATTGAATGTCGAGTATTTAAATAGCGTTTTGTGTATACTAATTCATGCGTGATCGGTCAGGTACGGCTCCAGCGCAATGTTCAAACAGGTAGACAGACAGGCAAGCTGACATACGTGCAATAGACGAGTGTTAGGAACACGTTCAAGTGGTCATGGCTTGAGGAAAAGGATGGAGATTTTTTGTCCGACTACATTAGAAAGGTCGACAAACCTAATCTCAGCAAACACTCAACAAATTGTTCTCCTGCATTCGGATAGTAATGATTAAATGCTTTTGTTGTTCCACTTTAAGAATAAAGGAGATTCTCCTTCACACCATGGTGTGCAGACACAAAGTGTTTTTGACGAGGACCTGCAGAAAAAGATTGAAGAAAATGAGAGGCTTCACATTCAGGTAATGTGCAATTAATAGAGATTTGTATTTTTTAGGTCATAAATGCTGAGGAGTCTGCGCAAATTAGCTTTTCTCCTGTGTTCTTTAGTTTTACGAGGCAGACGAGCAGCATAAGAGACAGGAGGCTGAGATGAAGACACGTCTAGAGGAGTTGGAGCGAGAATCTCAACACCACCAGACTGTCGTGGATGGACTTACTACAAAGTACACAGAAACCATTGAGAGGCTGCAGAGTGACAAGGCGCGACTGGAGGTGAGGATGAGCTTGAACAAAAAGCCAAGGTGATGAATCATCATGCGATTGTAAGTAGACATGAACGTTTTTGTGTGTTCCTCCTTCTAGGTTAAAACACAGACTCTGGAGAGGGAGGGAAAAGATTGCAGGTTGAGAACAGAGGAGTGGTACGTCTCCTTGTTTTTATTTATTTATTTATTTATTTTTTTTAGTTCCATCAAGGATTTATGGCTCGGCTCTGGTTAAATAACAAATTGTTCTGTTGAACTTTTTTGTGTGCAGTCAGCAGCAGTTAAGACGATGCCAGTCAGAACTGAACAGACAACTGAAACAAAGCAGCAGCGTCATCCAGGAGAAAGTGCCCTTCAACGACACCAGTGAGTGTTTTCCACTCAAAAATGAAAGTTTACCAAAAGAATTTTTCTCACTAATGCAGGAGAAAGACAGTTTCTGTCAGTTAGTATGTAAAATGGCTTCTCAATTTACGATTTAACAAACAAATTTGTAAGTTGGAACCTGCCGAAGCTGATTCATCCCCTACGCTAATGGTCTAGTAAAGTCACAATTACAGTAAATATTTGTCTGAAAAACAATTTGTGCCCATTGTGCAATGCAAAAATCTTATTTTGGCACAAGACAATGTATTCTTTTTATGCATCTGTGCTAGTTCATTGCCCGCCATAAGCTTGAAACGTCATATGTCGGTGCTGTCGGAAACCGAGTACCTCCTGTAGTTGGTCCTAATCCCCTTAGAATTTAGGACCACTAAAGGGGAATATTTTGCTCATTGAACCATCTTCCTTGTCCCTCCAATTCTCCAGAATTTAGTGACTACAACAGTCTAAATGTGCCGGCACACAATCGAAGACATCAGGTGAGTGTTCAGGGGACGGACTCATCCGTAAAGTGTTGTTTATTCTTTTTTGATTTGCATCTCAAACATCAAGAGTGTTGTTTTGATAATTATCACATGCTGTAGTTTTAATTGAATCTTTGTTTCCCCCCTCTATTTCTAAATTCAGCTCAAAGCCCGGGATGTGGCAGGTCAAGCCTTGAGCTTCATTCAGGACCTGGTAGCTGGTCTGCTGAATTTCCATTCTTACACTGAGCAGAGAGTCCACATTTATCCACTGGACTCTTCTATTGAGTTCATTTCCCCTTTGAATCAGAAGGTTAGTATAATAGCAAGCATACACAACATACACGGCATCTCATGCCAAACAAGCAAACTTTGTCTCTTGATAGTTCTCTCAGTATCTGCATGAGAATGCAGTGTATGTCCGCCCCCTGGAGGACAGTTTTCTTCAGTTACACCAAAGTATCACAGAGGACACGGTCACAGTTCTGGTGAGAGGTGCTTTTACAAAGACCTGTTGTGTCCTCTGTCTTTGTCTCCAACCAAAATCTATTTTATCTTGTTGAATTGTAGGAGACTGTGGACAAGCTGAAGAACTTCAGTGACATTTTCTCCACATATACCCGCTTCCTACAAAAGCTTCTCCCTTATCAACTAAAAAGGTCAGTGGTGTTCTTGCATGTGTGCGATAACCGCAGAGAGTGGAGGAGGATGTTTTTTTAACTGTCTTTCCCTCCCAGCCTAGAGGAGGAGTGCCAGACACCACTTTGCACTGCTACCCTTACAGTAAAGAACCAGGAACTACAGAATGATGTGAAGAGAGTGACTTTAGTGTTTGACAAGATACAGAACTACATTAACCTGTTGACCTTTCCCAGTAGGTTAACATGAATTATTCAAACCTGTTTCATAATTTTGTCCTTTTAAAAAAAATTACATATAAATGTGCACTTTTTGTCTCAGGCGTTCGTCAGGATGGAATGCCACAAAGTAGCACCTCTGCCGTCTTCACCCAACTGGCGGCTTGCCTGCATAGTCTTCATGATGTTGTTAAAGGTAAGCAGCCGTTTCAACTCTATGTCCGTGTTGTTCACAACAGATTGAGTCACATAATTGCCTGAACCACTCACTGTTTGTTGAGCCTCATGAATCCTGAATATGCCGATAAAACCTGGAAATAAAATAAATGAATGGGAAAACATGGTCACTCGGTGAAGTCAAGTTGCCTCATTTTGGGCACGCGATCATCTCATTTGTACCTGAAATGGAGTTTCTGATGGCAGGCATCAGCATGTAAAACTGAGGAGCGAGCACCTTGTACATTGCAAATAGAGAAATGAGATGAGGCGCTCGGTGCGAGACCGTATTTACTTCGGTTAACACTGCACCATGTGACATTTTTTGTGGACATGAATTGTCATTCAATGTCGTGTATTGTGTACATGCATATCATTTCACGGACAGCATTCTGTTCATGTCAAAAGTCGCATTTGTTTTTGTAGTCTGAACAGCTACATGAAAAGATGGGATCCAACAGAAAATGTAAATTGGGTATTAACTTTGACAGACAGAATAGTGTACATAAGAAAACAATAAGATTGTCATGTTCATTTGGTATAAATTCAGCAACAAGAACAGTGATTGAGAAACTAGCTAGTTTTTGACATAACCAAATGGCTGAGATGGGAAGACTACTTCTCCAATAACAGTGTCTTACAAGTGCTCTCTAATCTGCCGTTGGCAGTGCTCCGGATGGTTGTTGTTATTTAATTTCACTTCCCTTACTGCCCTCATCATGACATCTGGTGAAGCCAGGCCCTTGTCTTCATTGTAAATTGTCTGCCAATGTTTCTTCATATAATCAGTTCAGGCTGTATCCTGCCTCTCACCCAAAGTAAGCACGTTTGCAATGTCTATATCGCTATTTTCTTTTCAAACAGGGTACATTTGACAAAGTTGTACTTGACTTGACATTGTGAAAATCATTCCACTCATGTTATGGGAATTCACTCACTCGTCAGTAACTTGAGGGGTCAGAAGAGTCACTAAATATAGGAATCAAATCACTAAGTTGGCAACCTGGCTCTACTTTTGTAAATGAACTCTCTGTTCATAGCCTTCCTGTTTATGTAAGCAGTGCAAGTCGTCTGTGCTACGCTGTTGGATAAGAAAGCTGATAAAAAAAAACAAAAAAAAACTGAGCATCGTGCAGCTGTAGTTTGGATTCAGCAGACCCCTTGACCATTACTTTATTTTAGTGTCATCACATTTTCTTTGGTTGATACAAGCCAATAATAACAACACCTCCTCCCCCCAAATAACAAAACTTATTATATAAAACTGTCATTGCTTAGGTAGTTAAATTCAGTCACTAACTCTATGGCTCGGCAATTTTTATCAACACTTCCTATACGTGTCCATTCTTCATCTACATTGCATTCATTTGGAAATTTGATTCGAATTGGTCACAATACAGATACATCTCTTGCTCTTCTTACTGTTCCGCATGTGTGTGTTCATGCGTGCACATAGAAATGTCCAAGCACTACAACCAGAAGGCCAGCTTAGAGCAGGAGCTCCCCACCGCCACACAGAAACTCTTCACCACTACAGAATGTCTGCTGGGCTCCCTCGGCTCACTGACCAACAGCACAGGCAAGGTACGGCCAATAGGGGGCGATCAGCAACCTGGTTCAAGATTCATCTCTCGCGCTTGCAACACATTATGCCTTCTGATGCACAGTCGAGATTTGACAGCAGTTGGTGTCATGATGCTAAATTGCTACTGTAGGCAGAACTCAGGTGGCCAGCAGTTACATTTTCAAAGCTACTGTCAAAAATCACAGTTTTTGCAGCTGCTCCCCAGCTAGACTTACCGATAAACGATTTTTCTTTTTGAATAAAGACGTGTCTGATGAGAGGCCCAGGGCGGTAGCTTGCACACATGCTGGCACAGGATGTGTGAATCGAGCATTTTGAGATTGAGCATCTCTGCAGGAGAAATCCTAACTGCACAGACATTTATTTTACCCATCACTGTTGCCTTCTGTCTCAAGTGGCTGCTCAGGGTTGAATTTTACAAGGCATCATATGTGTGGCTTCTTGCAGCTTGCCACATTCTTCAGCAACAACTTGGATTTCTTCACGTCATCGGGCTACAGTCCCAGAGGAAACACAGAAGCCTTTAACCCTATACAAGCTGAGATAATGCTTTCCAACAAAAAGAAAGCAGCTGCTTACATTAATGCGCTCAAAAAGGTAAGCATTCCCAGCCTCTTCTTATTAATTTGAAGAGCTTTCAACATACTACTGTGTTAATTCAGTCCAGAGCTATATTTAGATTATGTCTATTTAACAATGTGTTTATTATAGCGTCAGTAGTTGGCGGTTGTGAGATACAGGAACACATTTAGTCATGAAATGTAATGTAAACTACTATTACATCATCATTTATTTGTTGTCACTACTTGCGTTTAGCCCCGGCCACAGTCCGTTCCATACAGGGAAGCGCTGTCTAATCGCCGGATACTCACGAGCTCCACTGAGAGTAGAGAAGGTCTCACTCAACAGGTATGAAGCTGCTTCTTCTAATTGTCACTAAAAATTGGTTGCATAGAGGTGCAGGTGTTATGTGACTGTCTTGAATGAGGTTGAGATGGGGAAAATTGCCACTTCAAGTTGAGTACACTGTTTTGCAGTTTTAGAAATTGCTGAAAAAAAAGCTCAGGCTAGCTGGATTCATTTTTTTCCATCCGCTTCTTAATTTTTGTGCTTGGCTGGCTTAGTTTGCCTGTTCTTGTTTTTGCTCTGCTGGCCTCCTGCAGGTGCAGCAGGGTCAGGAAAAGATTGCACGTCTTGAGCAGGAAAAAGAGCACTGGCTTCTGGAAGCTCAGCTCGGGAAAGTGCGGCTTGAAAAGGAGAACCAGCGTATTTCAGACCTGGAAGCGCAGCTCGCTATGGCTCTTGGGGAAGGTCAGATCTCGCAGACGTCTGCAGTCAGCTCGGTGACACAGAAGCATGAGGAAGTGAAGACGGCTCAGAAAACTGCTGCAAAAGAAACTATGTGCACCAGCCTGGTACAGTCACTTTTTAATTTTATCTTGCAGAGGAAATTTCCGATGCATGGCCAGAGTTTCTGGAACAATCATTGTCTGTTTTTGTCGCTCCCATGCATTTTTTGAGAGATAAAACTCAGACATCCAATGTGCCGAGGCAGCACTTAGGAGAAAACTTTAGTAGAGGCTCACAGAGCTCCTACAATCCAGAACTGGTCAGGGCTCACTGGTCAGGCAGGCTATGTACAGATTTTATTGTTGCAGTTTACTCAACAGCTGTGGTTATGTCTCCTCTCTCCAGGTTGGCATGTTGTGCACCGTGCCCTTAGCTGAGCATGTGAGTGGCCATGCATTTATATGAAAAAGTTCAAAGCAGTGTCTTCTCCATGGATAAACCGAGTGTAACATTGCAGGATGTTGCGTGTTGTTTGCAGGTGGGAGACGAGGAGTCCAGGGAGCAGCTGATAAAAACTCACTACATGACCAGAGTGGGAGAACTCACCACTCAGCTCCAGGTGTCAGACAGCAAAGCAGTGCACTTCCACTCTGAGGTGAAGCCTTCACTTGAAAATCTATCTAAAAAAAACAACATAATTGCTTTTGAGTGAATAAGCTTTTTTGGAGCCATTTAGCATCATAAGTCATTTTAGCAGTGATTCTTACAGAGTAGAACAATGTCAAACATCAATCATAACAACTTCTTATAATGCATGCGTTCCTTCCACATATTTGAAGGACAGGGAGCAGAGGATGACCAGTCGACTCTATGTGGCCCTCATCTTTTGTCTTAAATCAAAACACCCCATGAGTTACTGGCTTGTCCAGCTTTGTCTAATGCATAGGGATTTTAAAAACACATTTTCCTCAACTCTGGTGTCAAAATGTCTGCCTCCCCCCACCAGGAGTATTAGTTCACACAATCAAATCTGCCATGGGTGTCTGTTGCATGCCAAAACAGGTGGTCACATAACTCATAATTTAAATCCATCATCATCTGTATGGACCCTAAGGCTAGAAAAAATTGGTGAGTCGACCACAAAAATTTCATCCATCCAAAAATGTCTGACTTGAAACTATAATTAATCTTTTTAAAACCATATTTGCACTGCCTGGAATCATGTTTGGACACTGTCCATGTTTACAGCACGGACATTTGTTGCAGACGCACACACGCACTTACTGGGGTAGTCATTGTTGCTATGAAGGAATACCCAAAAAGGGGGCGATTACCCAAGTACAAGATTCATTAGTGTCATGACACCTCTAATGGACCCAAAAACCGGTTGGAATGTTAATGACATCTTATTTCTGCAGTTTGTGTCCTAGCAGCAGGGAATGGACCCAATCCCTTTTGTGTATCAGAGATGATAAACTGTTCCTTAACCTGTTCACAGTGCATGGCACGTCGTATATATTTGCATTCAGAAAAAAAACCCAAAACATTTTTCAACAACTTTATCGTTTTAGTGTCGCGCTTTGGCCAAAAGATTAGCCATTGCAGAGAAATCACGTGAAACGGTTGTCGAGGAGATGAAACGCGCCAATGGAAACATCACGCACCTGCAGGTATGTTGATCGTCCAACAAAAGCACCAAAGTCTACACTCTCTAGTTCCCTCAGTTGAAATTGTGTCGTGTGCCATACAGGATGAATTGAGCACGACCAAGAGGAGCTATGAGGATCAGCTGAGCATGATGAGTGACCATTTGTGTAGTATGAACGAGACGTTAAGCAAACAGAGAGAGGAGATCGACACACTTAAACTGGGCAGCAAGGTACACGAAGGACCATTCTTTCTTTTTTAGATTTTCTTCAATAATTGAAACTCTTAGAACATGGGTGCCAGTCAGATCAGGCCCCATCCAATGTGGCCACCTGGGTAAGTTTTTGTCTGCCGCCACTCTCCATTGGTAATTTAAAGAGAAATTGAAGAGCATTTATTTTAGTTATCTTTATTTTGTCAGATAACATCTCTTTGATTAATAATATCCCAAATTAAATGTTGAAATTTGAAAGCAGTACCGACTATTCATTTTATGTTCGGTAAGATTTTAGTTGTTATAAATTAATCCCAAAGGGAATCTGTTTCATGTTGCGTTGAGCATTTGAAATGTTTTATTAAAAGCTAATGAGGATTGTGTTTAAAGGGCCATTTCACAGTTTTTAATATTTTTATTGTCATTTGTTTTTTGTTGTTGTGGTTTTCTTTGTTTTTTGTATTGAAAGGCGCTGGCCAGATCAATCAATTTGTAGTAATATTAGTTGGCAATTGCTCTACGCTAACTTTTCTATTTTAAGAGTTAATAGTAATAACTAGTTTTACTATATTTTACATTGAAGATGATTTTTTTTTTAATTTAGTGGCACCCTAAATGGTGATCTGAGCCAGCTCGGCTGATGATCCGGTATAAAAGACAATTGAAAACTCCAAGGAGTGCGAAAACTCAAGCGTCTCTCGAGACATTAAGTTATGTTTTCAGCCTGTGAGACGTGACGTTGTAAAGATTCTGCCAGTTACAAGATGGACACGGAGGTCAGTGGAAGCAGTGTGCTTACTGCACAGTCTGATGGGAAACACACCTGCTGGCGCCATTTGAAAAAGGCATTAGGTCTGAGTTGAAGAGGTCCGCTGTTGAGTGTGTGAGTGTGTGCGTGCTCTGGCCTGCTTAAGAACAGGTTGCCAAATGGCAGGACAGAACATGTGCTTGATCTGTAGGTGGTGGTTTTCTCTTCAAGGACAGAAACCAGACCTGGCATGTTTCTAGATTCTTAAAGGAATGCAAAGTAAACCTGAGTCATTAGTTTGCTAACATAAATCTGACACAAAGTGGTGTGTTTTCCTTTTTACTTCTCCTCCGTTCAGCATTATGAAATCAGCCTAAAGTGAGTTTTTTTTTTTTTTTAATCTACCTGTATATATCTTCTACAGACAAATGCCAAGAAGAACAAAGGCCGCTAGCGGTTCCCTTCCCAAAAGTAATGGCAACATGAGAGCATTTTGAAGAGACTATGGAGCCTCCCAAAAAACAGCCCCTCTCAATACACACCCACACTGTGGCATCCTGGTACTAAGACCACCATGTACCCAATACCAGATCACAAGCAAAGCTTCAGAGGCCTTTTCTTTCCTCCAGACACAGCACCACATATTTTGTGCTGGAAGCTGTTTGACCTTTTTGGCCAGAGCAGAATAGGGCCTTCCAAGTGGAACACAGGAAATGAATAAATTTGCTGACATGAAGACCAAACCCTGTTAATCAATCAGCCTTTCTGTTTTTCCTGGTTGTGTGTATGTGTGGGAAAACAATACTGTTTTTGCTGCGTATTGAACACAAAATGTGAGTGCGGCTCTTTTTACATGCACATATTGTTTCATGCCTTTATGATAATAACCCTTCTAACACTGCATATGCTAAGAAGGGCTTCCAACGATCAACCAACAAATTAACACTTGAATCCATACCTTATTCTGGAGAGTCCTTGCAGAAGTCTGTCAAGAACCTCTGACTGATAAACTGTTTACATGGAAGAAATGGACAACTAGTAGCTTGTAAAGCGTCCCGTATGAGGGTGTGATCATCTTACCTTACAACAGTAGTTAACTTTGTTTTTTTTTGGTGGATATAACCTCCTGTTGGGATGTTGCAGCCTCAAAATGTATCTTGCAATTATTGTAAGCATACATTTATTAAATGCATTGAAATAGTAATTGTATGTTTCAATCTTAAAAATGCACATAAACGGAATATAACATGTATTCATTACTGAACGTGCAAATGTTTCACAAAATATGAAGTCTCTACTTGTTTTAGGTGTGTCTCAAAGTTTGTATTATGGGATGCGTCGTTGCTTGGACTCAAATTGTTGCTTTGACAAGCTGGTTCATGCTGCGTGCATTTGTGCAGCTGCACTTTCAGTTCTGGCTTGTTGTGACATGATGAGGTAAGGCACAGTAGCCTCTCAGTGGTTGCTTGCTGGTCTTCACTTGGGTCACAAGGATTTGCTAACTGTTTTCACACGATGGAAAGTACTGTACTTGTATCCTCACAGTGTAACCTTCTCAAAAGCCCACAATGTGTGTGCGAATCAGAATAAAGAGGATTTTGTCATTAGAATGAGCTGGCTTTGTATAATCCTTCACATTTTTGTGTGTGTTTTGTTTATTTTGTTAAGCCAAAGACCCACCTACTGGGAAACAAGATGACACCATTTAACTTGTCATGGGGAACAGTTTCATGACTTATTTAACAGGGTCAGTTCCTTTTGGCAAAAAAAAAAAGATTTGTCAATCTGTTGTAGTTTGTAGTGCTTTTTATTGCTCTTGCTACATGCATAAAGATGCCAATGCTGCTTCAAAATGCACATGCCAGCTATTTGAAATGGGCAATTTAATGTATACGTGTGAGCATGCGGTTCACTTTACAGTTCTGTGTATGCTCTCCACTTCAACATAAAGTACAAGGAAAATGGAAAAATCTGGAATTAATTACCCCTTAGCCAATGTAGCATCTTTCACTTTTCTGTAAATTCACACAAAATGTTTTAATATGCATACATTTTAGCTGTGTATCAAGTACTGTCAAAAAAGAGGATCAGAGTTGAAGGGATTTGGCTCACAATTTCAGTTGTAGTTTATTTAGAATAAACGGCAAATAAATCCGACCATTTGTACTTTACTTTGTTCAAGAAAATGGTCCTATCAAAGTGTTTCCCCAAAACTGGAAGAGAGAGCAGCATGGTAACAAATGGTGAGCAGTTTTGTCTCACTTCTGCGCTTCTGACGTTGAATCTCAGCTCTGGCCTGACTGTGGAGTTTGCATGTTCTCCCTGTGCTTGTGGCCAATCCTTAATTAATCAGTAAGCATTTAAAGATATTTTCCAAACTCTTTTGTTGTTGTTATTGTAATATATGCATTCATCCATTTTCTATCCCCTGGTTTATCCTGTTCAGGGTGACAGGGAGCTGGAGGTTATCCCAGCTGACTTTGGGGCAACTACATTAATTTGGCACGCACCAATGACAGGCGAATGTACTACATAAATTACCATCAGTGATTTAAGATGTTTGAATGTATTCTAGGTATGGAAACAAGGGTCTAAAGTTCTCTTTCTATTTCCACCAATTCGCTTGAATCTTTTAGGTTACTATATACGGTATAGCACTTGTGTCAAATAAAGGCTGCCAATGTATGTGGCCTGCTAAAGCAAATACGCTCTATTTCATGTTTCTTGAGAAAATATTTTCTAAAATTCCAGTGTCTTCACTATTTGAAAATCTGGTGCAATTAATCAATTTGTTGCGTATATATAATAATATCATGAGGTATATACTATGAAGAGTTAAATCATTTTCAACTCAGTTCAATTTCCGTCGTAACGGTTCAAATATGAAGAGAAGTTGAGGTGTGTCCTTTCCCATATTCCTGAACGCAGCGCGGCTCTGTTCCTTCCTGCAGTGTCCTGTTGGAGGACCGTCAGTGTTAACACTCCCGGGATTCACTCTCTGCCATTTTGAAGAGAATCAACCGTCCTGCCGACATCAGCGTTCATCAAACATAAGTGATGACCTCAACGGGTGAACTACGTTTGTGAGTTTGTAAGTTTGTCTCGCCTTCAGACCCATTCGAGGCTGTTTTCATTGGAGTTTTGATAGTTGGTGCGACGTTGCAGTGCACGGAAAAGTCAGTTTTTTGTAAAAGTTGGGCTAATGTTTTTGCGATGATAGTTGTCAGTCGTAGCTACGTAGTGTTTTGAGTCGGTGTTGTCTGCTGTTGAAACGTGTGTGACTGAAAACATTGTATAGTTGACTAAGTCAAAACAAAGGCACTTATGCAGCGAACCCGGAGAGCGGCCTGCGTGTTCGGGACAGGGAGCCCGGGCGTCGGAGTCGTGGGTCTCAGCTGCTTGGATTTATCGGGAAGGGGAAGTCTGTACATTGTTCTGTATTTTCATGTCTGTCCTGACATTTACTGTTTCTCTATCCAATCTAAAGAGCACTACATTGCGGACCCCCAGCTCGTTTGTCTATCTTCACAACGTAAACACATTATGTGGTCACAACAATAGGTACACCTGCACAGTGAAATTACAGTGGTCATTCTTAATTCTTTAGTTTACCATGCCAAGTCAACTTTAATACACTAAATGAAACTTTGTTTAACATGGTGGTTGGCCAATTCGCTATATCGCTCATGTAGTTCTCTGATTAAGGCATTCATAAAGGCATGACTGTAGTGCAGGGACGATTCTAGAAGCAGAAGTTTAGGGGGTGGGTTCACGTTTTATCATTCAAAAAACGCGCACACACACACACACGCACACACACGCACACACACACACACACAATAGGAGTTTCAACATAAGGGGCATCCAGTCAGTTCATCATTTAAAAGTGTGCTTCACTCATTGGAATTCAGTGAAGACAGCGGTACTGGTTGACTCCTTGTAATGTTTCCTACCTAGAAAAAAATGTCAGCTAGTTTCTATCGAACAACATAAACAGTCGTCTATGATTAATTCTGCAAAAATGAGGTCTGGTAATTTTAATAACATGTTGATTTGGAGTGGTAGAAATTAAGAAATGTGTTATGTACTGTATCCATATTTAAGGCGGGTAATCCTACTCACTCACACTACTCCGTATGACTGGAAGACTCCATACCTGCCTCGGGCTCATTGGTGAAGAGGTGAGAGTGATGCGGTGGACCAAACCATTTTTGAGACTGTATTTTTGTTGTTAAAGTATTGGTTTTCTACTAAGTACTGCATGAGTTTAAGACATCTCTAGCTTGTTAAAAAAGGACATACATAAAATTTGGGGGTGCTTTGATTTATTTAGGGGTGCTTCAGCACCACCAAATTTGAGCCTGACGCACCTATGCGGTCGCATTGTAAAGGCAGAATTGGTTTTATACCGCTCTTCTAGACTTTTAACGTTTAAATGACTGCCATTCTCGAGATGTTATTTTTCCACTGTTTGTTTTATTAAGCGTGTGGGAAAGAGACGTGGACCACAGGAATGAAAGTGCCTTAATAACGGCTAACTAGTGATGCTTGTTGCATGTTGTGTCTTCTGTGTGTGCTGAGCAGCAGTTTCTCTTCTGCTCGCTGAGTGATGAGTCGACACTTTGCTTCTGGAAATGGGTCATCACGTTCTCAGCTCTGCACTTGATAACAGTGACTGTGGTCACATCACCATCCATCAAATGCAAGTCTAATTTGGTTGTTCTTTCCCAAGCTTTTTTTTGTTTGTTTTTATCGTTGAATTACTGTTCCACTTATTTGAATTCATCATATTTTCAAAGGCTTGGTTTAACCTGCCACATGATTGAGCATGTTGGAATTGCCCAGCCATCAGCACATGATGCTCTTAGTTTTTACAAACCACCTTTAATGACTGTGATGTCAAAAATGGGGTGGCCTCATTTAAAAAACAGAGTGGTGCCATTTACAACCTGCTTGACTCACTTGGGTATGTCTGGCGATCTGTCTGTTATGTGTTCTAGCTTGTTGATATGGCTGATATGACTCAGAAATAGTTTGCGTTTTATCTGTAGCGTTGTTTGTCATAGGTTCATCACATTGTGGGTGTGTTTTTCCAAGCCGGTCTTGCTTTTAGGCAGTATTTGTTGTATGTCCAGACAAATGTGAGCACATTGCCATTTCATGTGTGCATGGCTGTTTGTCCCAAAGGAATGTATGGAATTTTTTTTCTTTTGTTTTCCCAAAAAAATTAGCAGCTTCTCACTTCTATTCTGATTTGTGAGCAAAAATTCTGCCTAGAGAAACATTGAAATATACAGGAAGGGATGCACTCATGGAAAAACCTGTATTTTTCTGTTGATTGCCTGGTTTGTTGATAGCTAAATTCATTTGCATTCTGTCCGTCCATCCATCCATCCATGCATGTTCTTCCGCTTATCCAGGTTGAGTCACGGGGGCAGCTTTACACACTGGTCTTCTTCAAATGGAATTGAAGCTTTTGTGATTTCAAGGGGCAGAAGACACAGGGATGTAATCTGGAAGAAACAGGTGTTTATTGTCCATGTTGTTCATTCCTATGTCGTTTTCCCAAGTTTGATAACGGCAAAGTGCATATCTTTATGCACATCTACATTCAAGCGGAAAGACCACGATGGACTCATCTTAATGCAAAGCTATTACTTTGCCTTGCTTTATTTTAATAGCAAGGTTAGAGTGCACCAATGCAACCTGAGAGCGGACATGCATCACTTGTCACCTCACTACCAAAATATCACTGTACGCTACTGAGAGTACCCCAGACTTGACTTGGTTCATGTCACAAAATCCCTTTGATGTCATTTAATGCTTCCACGTGTGCAAATACGTTCACATTTGTATCCGGCTTATCATTTCAATATATGTACTTGAATTTGCGCTCGCTTGTAAATCTGTTCAAGATACGTCATGATATCCATTTAATCTCGTATGTGATTTTCTCATTCTTTCCTTTAATTTCTTTTCTTGCAGATAAGAATTTCTCTGCCCAGCAAAATAAAGCCAGAGCTTTTGCTTTGAAGGGCCATCCGCGATGTGTTCCACCAATCACTCAAACTGGGTTACATTTGAAGATGACAACGCAGTACTTTCCTCCCCACAGAAACCCGGACAGTCACCAGGGTGTATCAAAGCGGCACTACCACGCCCCAATGGTCTCAAATTAGTGCATCCTCCTATCAGAGACACTTCCTGGAGCTTCAACAGCTCACTGGAATCTCCTCAAAGCCAATCAAGTGTCAGTGGAGGTTCATGTGTTTCGAGTCACACGCCGCTTCTCACCCCCACAAGTGGCGTTTCAAGAGTAATGTCTCCATTTCGCTCGAACTCCAGGGAGGAAAGCAACTTCTTCCAGAGCTTCACCAGCACATCTCCCACTTCTCTTCCATCTCCTGCACCAGAAACCCTGAGACTATGCTCAAACGGACCAAACCCCTTCCTCACTTTCCAGGGGAACTCTGGACACTTGAACCCTTTCTGGGACAGCTCTGGACACAGCATTGATGCAGGCAGTTCCTCCTCAGACTCTGAACCCGACCACAGTCTACCACGTTTCTTTATACGGACCAAAGATGGCAGCGAGCCTCCACCTGACCAC